AGAGATACAGTTAGAAGAAAACCCTCATTTCACCCCCGTACTTTGTGCTTATCGCTGTTAGCTGCCTCAGTAATTTAATTGGAATGAAACGTGAGAAATGTGTCATTTTTGAAGCGTTTATACATCGCTTCCTAGAAATCTCATTGTGTTAACTAGGAGCCTACTGCGTTCTGTTTAGAACCCATAATCACATTTTTATGTGTCTGTATTACGAGTTAATGTGACCTCCCATCTTTAGCAGATAAAAAAAAAAAATGTTCTCTTTCCATAACATCGGCATCAAACTCCAGTTTGCAGAAAGTACACAGAAACCCGGTTTGCTCAAGATTCTCCAAACTTACAACTTAAGAGCAGGGACAGGAACGCCAGCAGAAAAGTGCCTGCCGAATGAATAATTACACACCAAATTAAAACCCTGTAGTCGACAGCAAACACTGCATTCTCAATCATGTTTATTGCTTACAAATTGCATTACAAAGAAATCTACTCTTTTTATTGGAGTGATTAAGCAGAGTGTTAGGGCCGCAGAAATACCATTCTGGAAGATTAGACGCGGGCGGAAAAGCTAGCTAGCTCCATTGCAACGGTGAATATGTATAATTTTGTTAAAGAACACGTTTAACACACAAATGAAGATTGGACTGTCATTATGGCATCATAAAAGAGTCAACTTAAAATTATATTTATTTGTAAACACATTGCCTATAAAATGTGCATATTTAATACAAAGGAAGTCGGCAATTCCGTAATCAATATTTTAATTACTCAGATTTTATTATTGTGGCACAATTTTATATGATATATCACGATTCTATAGTTTCTCTATACTCTCTTCCCCCTTATCATGTGAGCTAAAATCCTTAATTTTGGGGTGCAGGAAGGGTAAGACCGTTTGCTTATGGCGCCACCTGCAGGACTCTATGAAAATGGTTTCAATACGGCAATTCTTTGGACTCTAGAAATTTAACCTCAGGGCTTCTATTAGCAATTTAATGAAATTAATATTTGTTTTAAAATAGAAAGATGTTGACAACTTCAAGAAAAATCTTGGATTTTGAAAGCTATGCTTAAATCCAAAGATAAGATGCAATATTGATCATCACTGAAACTTCAGGGCTTCTGAATATCCCAAGTGCATAGAGAAAATTTGTCCAAGGAATAATTTGCTCTTGAAATAATGGAATAAAAGATGCCATATTCCTGGTTTATCACCTGGTCCTTGGGCAGTCCTTAAGAGATGAGAAGCACTTGGAAGGCTAATAACATCCGCAATGGCGGTGATTAAGCTTCTTCTTGGATGCCGGGCGTCAGGACGGGTCACTGGAGCCAACCAGCTCATTCTCCAAGCCTATATTTTACACCATTTTGGTAGCGGGTTAAGTGTTCTTTGCCAAAGTTCAACAGCCTGCCCCATCAACGTGTGTCATCAAAAGGTGATCTGGGAAATTGGAAGTGTGGCGATTATAGACAGTGACTGGGATTAGCAAATGCTCCTTAAAGAGTCAGGGGTTTTGATTTTCTTCAAGACGTGCTGAATTGATGGTGATCATGTCTCTTAAAATCAAATGGACACAAATATGCTGAAAAGAGAGGTCTGGTGCTGTGTCCAGAATTGTAAGCACGATACGTCACAGGGTGCCACATCCAGGTACTGCCCGCCTGCTGGCTGTCCTGTTGTGCTGGGGACATTTGGACTGTCCGGGTACAGTCAGGATGAAAGGAGGCAGACCTCGTCAGGACCGCGGTTGGTGGAGAACCTCACTTGTGTATTTGAGAATTCTCTGTGGTCAGATGACAAGTAGTATAGTCACAGCTATTTGATAAAAGCTGGAGGGGCCCTGACCGGGTGGCTCGGTTGGTTGGAGCATTGTTTTGTGCACCATAAGGTTGCAGGTTCGACTCCCGGTTGGGCCGCGTACAGGAGGCAACCGATGGATGTTTCTGTCACATCTATGTTTCTCTCTCTCTGTCTTCCTCCCTCTCTCTCTAAAAATCATTAAAAACGTAGCCTCGGGTGAGGATTAAAATTTTTTAAAAAAAAGATCAAAGGGAAACAATTCCTCTGCTTTTATTAGTAGAAACATTTACTCTTTTGTTTCTGTCTGGATTTTGAACCCTGTGAACACATCATTAAAAAGCGAAATTTGAAATTAAAGAAAGCAACTTAGATCTTATGGAATTGAATTTATATAATATGTGCAAAGAGAAAAGTAATGATGTCCAATACGAACTGTGAAAGAAGAGAAAACATCTGTAGGACCGTTAATAAGAGAAATCCCCAGGTATAGCTTGTTCACTGGGAAAGAGGTCACCCAGGGTAACCCCCCTGAATCCCGCCGCCCCGCCCTCTTCTTTCCCTCCCTCCCTCCCTCCCTCCCTCCCTCCCTCCCTCCCTCCCTCCCACTTTCCCCCTCCCCTCCCTTCCTCAGTCTGTCCTTCTCCCCCACAACCAATCTCGCTCCTTTTGTCTTTCGTATCTAGGTGGAATGATGCAAGTCGCCATAATTTTAGAACTTCCTAATACAGGCAGCACAGAGCACAGTTAGACACAGTCATCGAGACGAAGCATTTCTGAGTTACTTTATTTTCTGATTAATAAAGCAAATTGCTAGCAGTAATCAATTCTGAAAGACTAATAATTCTTCGTCAGATCTTTAGAAATATAAAGTTAACATGTTTCCAAAGAGTTCTACTTTGTTCTAGGACTCCAAAACATATTTGAAATTTAATGCATTTCAGAAAAACAAGCCAACTTTCCTGTGGGGGGGCGAGGACTGGGCTGGCTGGGCTGGCTGAGGGCATCGGGATGGCTGAGGGCATGGAGTCAGTGTGTCCCTTCCGAGTCTGATTCCCAAGCGCAGGGAGGACAGGGCTGGCAGCCCGGGGGGGGGGGGGGGGGGGAGCTGGGGCTGCATTTCTTACTGTCCTGCCCTTTCATTTGTTTTATCAATAACACTGCTTTGTGTTTCCATGTTTTACCGTCTTTATCCTAATAGTAAGCTACTTTCTTCTAATGATAAAACAGTCCTAGCAATAGAAGGAGGGTCTCTGGGCAGGCTCAGCGGGGGCACCCTGGAGGAGGGGCGTCACCCTGGCAACACTGCAGAGGCACCTAGACCTTCCTTTCCCAGGTGAACACTGCAGCCCATTTTGTTGAAGTAACTCCTTCTTTCTCAGGGGAGCAGCCTGGCTCTGAAGCCCCGTCTCCAGGGCATCACCTCGGGCTCCTTCCACCCTCCAGGATCCTGTATCCCGTCCAGGACGTCACCTTCCCAGAGTCCCGCTCTGACCGCATGTGCTCACGTGCTCTGCGGTCCTCGTGGCTGGTCCAGTAGGTTCAGAATCCTTGGCCTGGAAGCCAAGGCTCTCCTCATTGCACCCCAGCCCCGCCTCCTCCCAGGGGCCAGAGGACGAGGTGCCGTTCCTCCTCCTGCCCTGCACCCCCCCTTCGGTCTGCTTTCCTTTCGATGCAGCGGTGACTCGTCTCCGCTCAGGAGGTGCTCGAGGACACCACGTGCACAAGCCCTTCCTCCGCCGGGTGAGTTGTCTGTCTCAAGGGGCGGCTGTGGGTGGTCAGCTGGAGGTTCTGGGGGTACTGCCCTGTCACTCCCTTGAAGACCTCCGTGGGGGCTGTGCCTGCCCCCTGCTCACCCCACAGTGGGCTTCACTCACGCAGCCACCACATCCCACCTTGTCCTGCAGAATTTGTGGCAGGTGAGTCCCCCTTCAGACTGCAAGTGGGAGGGTGCGCCCCGCCCCCTCTGAGGTTGTCCCCATAGCACCCTGTACTGGCTCAAACTGGACAAAAAAGGAGCCACCACTGTCCCCAGAGGGTGACCACAGGAGTCCCTGTTTTAAAATACGGTGTTTAGTAGAAAACTTGAAGTCAAGTGAGGCCAGCAGGTCAGGAAATGATTGCCGTTGAAAGATACTTTGTGACTCACCGTCCCCAGAGGGGACATGTCTCGCCATGGCAGCCACACGGGAAAGCACAGGGTGGTCAGAGGCCAGGGAGTCGGGTGGGCAAGAGCATTTATTGTGGTTTCCGTGGAAGGAACGGGCGAGGCAGGACAGGCAGGACAGACAGGCTTAGGTTGGCTACTCAGCATGATTTCAGTGGGCTCTGGGCAGAGGGGCTGTCCCGGGTGTCCGGTGCCTGGTCCGGGGGTGGCTGGTGTCCTGGCGCATGAGCACCAATGCAGGGGATGGGGGTGTGAGCGCTGGGTGGTTTGTTTGCTGTCTCCAGGAATTGGTAAGCCTGGGGGGGGGGTGAGTCTCTCCAGAGTAAGGCCCCAGATGTCAAAGCACCAGAACCCAGAAAATGAAAGCCTGGGTTAGTAGCCCTGGGCCGTTAGGACATCTCCCATGTTAGGGATGCTTGGGACAAGCTGACGGCACCCTCCGCCAACGTGGCTTCCTGGGCCCTGCGCCAGGGCTCGGTCAGCTGGGTTTGGTGAGAATGGCAGACAGAAGACTTGTGGGGGGTGGAAACATCTGGCTCATACCCCTCCTTCAAGGGAGCCCTGGGCCACGCTGCGCTGGGAAGCACCCGCGGGCTCCTGGGAAGGGGCTTTATCATGGAAGCAAGTGTCCTCCCTCCATGTGCATGTCTGTCGTGTTTTGGGGATGGTCTTTCCAGGTGCTGGGGGTCCAGGAGGGGTGGGGCATTTCCCAGGAGGCAGAGGGTCTGCCGCTTGGGGAACAGCGTGGGTGCTGCTGACCCACTGCGGGCGGGAGAGGAACCCCGGAGAAACAGGCTCAGCTTCTGGGGGAAGGCACTGTCTGATACCAATCCCATGACACCCACAACCGGCATTCTCGCCAGCGGCCTGAGAGACGGTGAGGGCTCTCATCGTCCCTGTGTCCCCAGGGGAACCCAGGCTCAGGCAGGTCTGCACCGCCAGTGGGAAGTCCCGCCAGGCCCACAGGTCCCGTCCAGGCTGCTGTCCTCACCACGCAGCCGCAGGGGAGACCAAGCACAAGCCCATATGCTCCGAGTTTCAGTGCAGGACACCCTCTGGCTCCAGCAGCAGGTAGCTGTGCAGGGCCTCGGGCAAGGGTAACAGGGGAGCGAGGAAGCCCTTCGTGCCAAGCTGCCTGCGGATGGCGCAGCGGCAGAGGTGCTTCAGGCTGCGCGGGCTGCCGGCCAGGGCCAAGAGAGACCGGTAGAAGGGCTGGTGCGCCTGGGAAGGAAGGCAGGCGGCATCAGCGTGCGCCCCTGGTCCCGCGGCCGGGCTCCTGCTGCTGGGAGACGCCAGAGGGCCTCTCCCCGCCACCCACCCGACAGCCAGATTAGGGAGAAGCTCGGCTTTGGGAGAAGCACCCTCCACCAGGGGGTCTGCAGCTTGGGGAGGTTCACTCACACAGGGGACCTCCCTGAATCCCGCCTGGTCCTCTGAACAGCGCTGCGCTGAATGACAGTGATGAGCACAGGGCTCAAGTCAATGAAATGTGAGGGGGCATTTTCTAGAGGCTTTTGGAAAAAATTTTAATCAAGTCACCCGTGGACTTTGTCGGGTATGGCTGTGGGTCAGGACACAAAGCTGACACAGGAGCCAGAGCCTGTGGCCTCAGGTTCTTGGACGCCACCCTCACGTGGGCCCTGGTCCTGGAGCCCTGCCCCCCCTCCCACCAGCACGCTCTGCTCCTGTGGCCCACAGAACCCCACCCACAGCACCCCACCCACAGCACCCCACTGGACCTGCGGGGGGCCCTGGAGCCCCGCCCCCCTCCCACCAGCACGCTCTGCTCCTGTGGCCCATAGCACCCCACCGGGACCTGCCCTCTGGGGTACGGGGGTACGACGTGGGCCGCCAGGGACCTGCCCTCTGGGGTACGGGGGTACGACGTGGGCCGCCAGGGACCTGCCCTCCGGGGTACGGGGGTACGACGTGGGCCGCCAGGAGGAAAGCAGACTCCACCGCGTCCCCAGGTCTCTTCCTCTCTGTCCAGGGCTTTATGCCGCCTGGAAACGCCGGCAGAACTGGCCCAGGGGACGGGAACAGGGACAACCAGGCACTAAGCGGTCGCAGGGGGGCTCCCTCACCTGAAACACCTCGGCAGGGATCACCTTCCTCCAGGACTCGGACACTCGGAGCTGAGGGTAGGAGTTGAACAGCACCTCCACCACCGCGGGGGCCGGCGCGCAGGTCTTCAGCACCTGGTCGAAGCGGGGAGACCCGTGAGGTGTCCGTGTGACCACTGTCCTGTCCCCCCGGGAGCAGTGCTGATCCCAGGAACAGTACAACAGGGCTGCGCTGGGGTCAGGGTTCGTTCGCAGACAAGCAGAGGCAGCGCTGGGCAAGGCCCTGCCCCTCACTGTGGAGTCTGGGCAAGGCGGCGCCTTCAGGATCAGGAGGGGCCCGTGGGTGGCCCCACGGCTGCTCGCAGCACAGCCACGAGGCTCTGCGGGGAGCCGGTGTGGCCCAGGGACCGTGTTCCTTCCCCTGTCTCACCTCAACTTCCTAACGGGTCAGGACGCGGGTGGCGGGCTGACAGGGGGCGGAGCAAAGAAGGGCTCTGCTGATGCGTTTCCACAGTCCCCACTGCAAGGGACTCCTGCTGTATGATCTGCAAATCCAAATTCATCAGCTTCATCACAAAGATGGGAACATTTTGCTTTTAAAAAATAAACTTTCTTTAAAAAAATTATTTTTCTTTATTGGTTTTAGAAAGCGAGGAAGGGAGAGAGAGAGAAACATCGATGAGAGAGAACATGGATTGGCTGCCTCCTGCACGCCCCCCACTGGGGATTTGTGCCCTGACTGGGAATCGAACCGGCGACCTCTTGGTGCATGGGTCGATGCTCGACCACTGAGCCAACCGGCCAGACTAAAAATAAACTTTCTTTTTTTTTTTTTTGTTACGGAGAAATTTGAATGGACACAAAACTGGACCCAATCGTGTGATAAAGCCCATGTCCCCACCATCAACCCAAATCCTGCTCCATCCATTCTCTCAGCCCCCTCCCTAATATTATCTTAAAGCAAATTCAATGTAGTCCATCATTTCATCCATAAATATTTGAGTGTGTCTCCTAAGGGACCCTTTAGAAGAAACGTCAACAGTATCACTATAGCACTGCAGAAATTAACAAGCGTTTCTTAGTATCATGTAGTCAGTGTTCAGCTTCACAAGTGTATCTTCAATGCCATGGTATTAGAAATAATTTGTTTGAGTAAGAATCTGAAACACAAGTGAGGTCAGCTAATATGATGTCGTTCTATTTATTTATTTATTTTTATATGATGTGAGTTTAGATTTTTCTGTTTCTTGTGAGTTATCTGTTGAAGAAACTAGGTTATGTGTCCCGTGGAGTTCCTCACAGCTGGGGTTTTGCGGGTGGTGTCCCTGTGGGCTTGGGGACGTGCTGTGTCTCCTCTGCTTTCTGTAAGTGAGTAGCTGGGCTTAGAAGCTCGATCAAATTCAGAGCTGATCTTGGGGAGGGGCAGGAACACCTCATAGTTTTCTGTTTTTGAGGCTCAAGATTTACCAAGTATTGTAAAACTTTTCTTTGTATTTTTTAGTTGAAAAAAACCGAGTTTAAGTCATTTTTCTAAGACCAGGAAGCAAATACCCACAGCAGACAGCAGTCAGAGTCAGTAGCTAAGCTGACCTGCACCCTGCTTACTGGGCTCCCCGAGCACAGATCAAATAGGAAAAGGTATTTAAATCACTCAGTGTGGCTGCTCCTTTTATAGCTTGTCCAGGGCCCTTCACCTCTAAAACCTCTTTAAAATCAGAACAACAAAATAAGAAGTTCATGTTTCTTTGTTCAGAGATAAGCCCTGTTAACGTTTTGTGTATACTGATGTTTTACGCATTTAGACAGAACATTAATATATGTAGCAAAAAATGGGCTAACACTTTGCGTATTATTTTGAAACTTGATTTTTATCTCCTCAAAATAGATTGTGGACAAAAAGGATAACTTGGCATCATTTTAGTGGCCATACAATATTTTGTTTTATGAATGGGTCCTCATGTATTCAGTGAACTAACTATCATAAATTGGTATTATAAACAATGAACATTTTTGAGGTATGTGCCCCTAGTAGGAACCGAACCCGGGACTCTCTGGCCCGCAGGCTGTCCCTCAACTGCTGAGCCAAACTGGCCAGGGCAACAATGAACATTCTTGAACATAATTCCATCTCTTCCTACCCCCAACCATTCTTAGGTAATAATTCTACCCCCTTCATACATTAAAGTCTTAGAAGTAGAAATGCAGGGTCAAAGGGTAGGTACATTTTATTTTCTCTTTTTTTTAATTGTTGAAAGTATTACAGATGTCCCCCTTTTTCCCCATTGACCCACTCCTTTCTGTTCCCACCCCCTTTTTACCTTCCCTGGTAGGTACATTTAAAATATTTTTTTCTTTATTGATTCTTAAAGAGAGAGGGAGAGAGAGAAACACTGATGAGAGAGAACAGTGATTGGCCACCTCCTGCATGCTGTCCACTGGGGACTGTCCCACAACCTGGGCATGTGCCCTGACTGGGAATTGAACCGGTAATCTCTTGGTGCATGGGTTGATGCTCAACCACTGAGCCACACCGGCCAGGCTGGTAGGTACATTTTAAAGTTTTAAAAACATATTGTCAAATTGTGAGTGTGTAAATTGTTACATTTCTTGAAGAATTGAGTATGAGAGTGCCTCTTTCTCCCTACCCAAACTATCTAATAAATTATTTAAATTTTATAAGTACAATATGAAATATTTACCCTTGTTTTGCTTGACCATTTGTCTTCTTTTCTGAATTACTACAATATGTCATTTGTTCATTTTTTTATAGTGTGTGCATTTTTTTCATTAATTTGTAAGTATACCTTATTTATAAAGGTTATTTTTAGTTATGCAATCATTTTTGCAAATAATGGTATTTTCTCCTCCTCAATATTAGTATTTCTTATTTATTTTTCTTATCTTATTACATTGGCTAGAGCTTCAAAATTCAATGTTAAACAATATTGGTAGCAGGCATATTCATCTCATTCTCAATTTTAATAAGCTTGTCTCTAAGGTTTCACCATATAGTTCTGGATATTAGTTTCAGGTGGATACTCTGTTCATAGTTAATGAAATATCTTTCCATTCCTAGATTACTACAAATATCAGGATTTTATTTTTGTGCTTTTTTTTTTTTAAACCAGGTTGACACAAAAAGATTTTCCAATATTGATCCACTTTTGTTTGCATAAAACAGACTTTATTTGGCTATTCTTCTAAATATAATGGCATATTTAATTTACTAAGATTTTTGCATCTCTTTAAATAACAAAATTTGGTTAATAGTTTTAGTTTTTTGAGCTGTTTTTGTCAGGTTTTCATATCACTTTATGTTAACTTAGTAAAACTGAAAATTTCTATCTTTTTTAATACTCTGAAAGATTTAAAAACGTAAACACAAATAATTATTGAATTAAGAAGGCACGACTGATCTTGCATTTGACATTGTCTAAGCCTGTCATTTAGTTGCAGGTAATAAGTGGATGTTTTTAATTTCTTCCCTGGTTACTGGCACATTTTGTTTTCATTTCTTCTTTTTTTTTAATCCTCACCTGAGGACATTTTTTTGCATTTACCTTCAGATAGAGCAGGAGGGAGAGAGGGGGTAAGGAAAAGAGAGAAACATCGATGTGAGAGAGACACATCGACTGGTTGCCACCCACACAACCCCAACTGGGGCCGGGGACAAACTGCAACCAAGGTACATGCCCTTAGCGGGAACCGAACTCGGGACTCTCCAGTCTGCGGGACGCTCTAACCGCTGAGCCAAATCGGCCAGGGCCATTTCTTCTTGAATCAATTTTGTTCATCTATATTTTCCCGGGAAACATCCTTCACTTTACAGAAATTCCGCACTGCACACGTGTGAGGTTCCAGTAGGGCACAGGACACGCCTGATGGAAGGAGGTTTCAGGAAGGTTTACTGACCCAGGGCCTAGTCAGCCCAGTGTGAGCGCAGGGATCCACCAGGGACAGTGCATTCAAGTGGAGCTGGTACCGCACTGTTTCTATTCCTGAGCCAGAGGGTGGGGCTGGGCTGGGCTGTCCTACTGGGGCCGTGATCCTTGGTGGGGGACACACAGCCGGCCTGAAGCAGACAGGTGGCCAAGTGACTATGTCCTCTGACCTCACTCTCCTTCCTTCCATCCTTCTGCTGAGAGACCTCACTGGCCAAACCCAGCAAGGCAGGAAGCAAGAGCCTTGTAGGTGTGTCCATCTATCTGGACGGAGGATGGGAGGCACCTCCTGTTTATAGCTCCTTTGGAAATACTTTTTGTATTTGCATTAGTTTTACAATGTGGCTTACAGTCATTTAAGCCGTTTCTCTTTTCGCTGGGTTGTACGCTTACCACCTGTCTGCTCAGCCGCTCATTCTGTAGCTAGTTACCAAGCTCCTTCTAGCAGCCAGGAGTGTGTGAGGTCTCCGCGATACGACACAGCCCCGCCTTCAGAGCACGCGACGTCCCGACAAGGCGGTCCCAAACACTGCCACACCAGGGGCAGCACCAGGAGCGGCACCTCACTCAGCCCTGGGTGTGCGGTGGCTGGTGAGCCGCTCAGGGGAAGCTCTCTGGAGGAAGTGACACCAGGCGAAGACCTGACATGAGAGTTCTGGGGGCGGGAGCGTGCTGGCGGAAAACACGTGTACCAGGCGTGGAAGCTCAGAGGGACCAGGACCTGCGGGCTGGGGCGTGGCGCCTGACACGGGAGTATGAGACCCGAGACGGCCAGGAAAGCAGGCTCAGGTTGGGGAGTGCCGTCTGCCCTGAGAAGGGGCTGGCTTGCTCCTGAGGGCGGGGGAGACCACCACGGGCTGTGTGTGGAGGGGCCACACCTGGAGACAGTCCGGTTAGGAGGGTGCTCCTGTGACCTAGGGAGAGACGGCTCGGCTCGGGTGCTGGCCCTCAGGATGGAGGAGGAGGATTTTCGGAGATGCTAGGAGGATCTGTAGATGGTGTTCCCATTCCTGAGATGCTTTCACATCCGCTCTGTCAGATGGAGAACAGCCACCGTCCACGTGCAGCCTTTCCCCCCCCGCCCCCGAACTGCTCTTGCCCAGAGCCCCTGAGATCTGGCTGCAGCAGGGGTCAGGGCCCTGCCTCACCTTGTGTGGTACCCGCCACACCCGCCACAGTCACCGTGTCCTCTGC